TTTTATCTTTTTTAGAGAATTTTTTCGGTATGATTAGAAAAAAAATTACCGGTAGTTTTTTATTTTTTAGCCGTCAATTATGTATCAGACACTATTTATTCTGTATATTTTTTTTATTTGATTTGATTTTGACCAGATCCAACAGTCAAAAAACTTGTCTTACTAATAGGACGACCTACCAAAAAACTCATTTTTTTAATTTTTGTCTTAAAAATTTCATTTTTTTTGTTTTGATTCCTTTTATCCTAAAATTTATTTATTTATTCATTTTAGTCAATTTTTTGACCTTTTTTATTTTTATCTTGAAATTCCATTTTTTTCGTTTGGATTTTTTTGCCCTAAAACTTATTTATTTCTTTATTTTGGTCATTTTTTTACTCTTTTTTTTAAATATTTTTGCTCCAATTTTTTTTTTTTTGCCTTTTTGCTCTAAACTTATTTATTTATTTATTTTAGTCATTTTTTATTCTTTTCATTTCTTTTTCTTTCTTGGATTTTATATTTATATTTTATATGTATTGAATAACACATTAATTAAAACTTAACACATAAATTATTCTGTGTGTATAATACGTGGAGTTCAATTAATCTCTTAAAAGAATTTCTTTGTGAAAATGATATCTGCAATGCAGATTTTGGAGAGAGAAAAATGAGAGCCTGACAAATTTTGGAGAGAGAAAATACTGCAGATTTTGGGTGGAGAAAGAGAAGGACAGAGAAAACAAAGAGAAAAAAATTAATTGATTTAAGTGACGTGTAAAATTAATAGGATAGACATCTTCTTTTATCTAAAAAAGCTTAAAAAAAGACAACTCAAGTTTTAATTTTATTTAAGTTAATATTATTTTAAATTTAAATTTAAATTTTATTTAATTTTATTCAACTTTATTCAAATTCTAACTTCAACTCAAGTTATAACTCAAATTTAACTCAAAAATTACATTCAAATTACCCTTTAAAATAACAACCCTTTTTGAGTTCCATTTTGCTTTTCGGAGTAATAGGCTATTAGACATAATTTGAGTTCCATTTTGCTTTCCGGAGTAATAGGCTAATAGGACAAGTCTTTTTTTTTTTTTTTTTTTTTAAAGAGTTAATGAGATAAGTATTTTTAGAGTGTATAGATTTTAATTTTTACCTTATATTTTTAATTAATATTCTTTTTAGTTAAATAATTATATTAATAAAAAAATATTAATAAATAGTAGGAGTAAAAGTTCGACTCAAGTACTTTAAGGATAAGCTCAATAATTTTATATTTTTTAAGGATAAATTTTATACATTTTCTCTTAACTTTGTCACTTGTGTCAACATGCTCATTAAACTTTAAAATGTACATATTGTGCCCACTGAACTATGACTTGTCTCTAACTTTTCTCCCTCCATCTGGTTTCGTCAAGCTTTTTAATGGAAATGTTTATAAGTTCTCTCCGAACTTTAAAATGTACATATTGTGCCCTTAAACTATGATATATTTCTAATTTTTCCTCTCCATCTTGCTTATGTTAAATTTTTAAATGAGAATGTTGATATGACCGTTAAATTACTAATTATGTATGATATTTAGGATTTATTGAATGCATTTCATTTTAAAAAAATAGTTGGTTCGAGGCAATAAATATGAAAAAGAAAATGAGAAGCAAGTTTGTACAAGGTAATGAGTTTGTTAATTTTTTAGTTTTTTCCTTTTTTTTATTGGAATGGGTTTATTAAGATTTATTAATGCAGAGAATAGATTCTTTCTGGAATTTTGTACTACATGTTCGTTTTTTTTTTTATGGTGTAGATTCTTTCTTTTAAAATTTGTTAAGTTAATGAGTTTTTTAAGGTTTGTATTGAATTTTCTAAGAGAAAAGAAAAAAAAAACACAATGACCTAAATGTATATATATTTAAAAATGCTACATATAAAATATAAATATATTATATGTCGAGCACTTTAAATATTATTAAGTTAAGAAAAAACTAAAAAAATAACAAAACCCATTACATTAGATAGATTTATTCTTTATTTTTTTTTCCATTTTTATTGCCTCTAACAAACTAATGTTTTACGAATTAGTGTCTAACTAATGTTGTTTGAGGGAAAGACATTTAAGTTCTGTTTATTTTACCGATTTGAGTTTAGAATTTAAGTTTTATTATAATAAAACACTCTTAAAAATAATCACATCTAACTTTTTTACTATAATAATTTTTTTTTATATAAAGTCATATATAAATTCGAATTAAAAACTTGAATTAACAAATTAAACGACTTTTAATAAAAACCTTACATGCCATATATAATTAATAATTTAATGATTATATTAATATTTTTATTTAAAAAAATTGACAGAATAAAAAAGGAGGGAAAAGAATCGGAGATAAATCAGGTACATTTTAAAATTTAAAAAGTATATTAATATAAGTGATAAATTTGAAGAAAATTTAAGTATTTTCGTTAAAAAATTTGCGGAAAGAAAAATTAGAGACTACTTTAAAGATTAGTATACACAGATGACAAAGTTTTGGAAAATTTGTAAAAATTTGTCTTTTCGTCCCCTTTTTAACGAGCATAGGCATAGGCATAGGCATAGCAAGAAGCTTTACTTCCGAGAAGGCCACGACAGAGGCAGGGACCGTCTCTCTTTCTGAACTCCACTGAAGTTCTGTCTCGTCATACTACAGTAACTTCCACTAACATAAAGCTCTCCTTTCTCTCACAGCATCTCAGTCCGTGAAGAAGGAATCCATATTATCACGCCTTAGATTTCCTTCAACTTAACATAGAAGAATCCCAAAAGAAAAAAAGAAAAAAAAAAAAGAAAAAAACGACTTCTCAGAGAGAAAGAAGAAAGTGAAGACGACGACGATGGCGACAACGACGGATTGTTTGGGTTCTTCTCCTTCGCCGACGAAACCAACAACGCCAAACCACCGTTCTCCTTCTTATACTCAGACTCAGAGAGGTGTGCAAAACGACACCTGTTTCCACTGTCGTAACAGAGGCCACTGGGCTGCCAACTGCCCTTTCAGATCCCCCCTTCAATCTCAATCTCAATCTCTATCGCAATCTCAATCTCTATCTCAATCTCCTAATTCCGACACTTCCATTCCATGCCCGTACGGACACGGCTCTTGCATTCTCAAAATCTCCCAATCCAGAGCCAACCCTGGCAGGCCTTTCTACTCTTGCGTCTCTCTCTCTCTCTCTCTCTCTCTCTCTCTCTCTCTCTCTGTTTTTTGTTTTCTGAGTATTGGGTATTAATGGGTATTTCTTTTTCTTCTTCTTCTTCTTGTTTTTGTAGGATGTTTGTAAATTTTTCAAATGGCAAGATGAATTGGATTTGGAGAGTGGTGGTGGTGGTGGGTCCAACTCCAACTCGAATTCCAAGGCTAGGCGTGATCGAGCTCAGGATTCTTACCCGGACTGCCTCTGCGGTGCTGGGAAATGTGAGATTGTACAGGAGAGAACTGGGAAATACTTTGTTTGCCCTATTCAAAAGGTATTTATTATTATTATTATTATTATTATTATTATTATTATTATTATTATTATTATTATTGGGCTCTCAACTACCCAACTTCTTTGTTGTTGCTGTGTTGTAAACTGTCTTCATCAATTTTCCTTTTTTCGCCAAGTTTAAGCTATTGACTGTTTCTCAAGTTTGGTTTTTTAATAATTAAATTACTTGCGAGTTTTGTTCTTTACAACGTTTAGTTGAAAAAAGTTAGACTCTTTTCTTTTTGGTTGTAGTTTTGGTAGTTTTCTTTTTGGTTAAGGCCATATATGATCAAAGTAGTGTTTGATTGAGATCACGACAACTCAAATAAGATGTACGAGTCTGATAAGGCTGAATTTATTCAATAAAGAGAAGATTTTCTTTTTGTGATCTTAATATTGCTTGTTCTTTTACTTCTCATTGAGTTGCAAGAACATATTCAAATTTCAAATATGCAATTATACATTTATTGTTTGATTTATATTAGTGACAAAAATTCATTGTTGTTCATTGAATTTTTTGTCATCAATACAAGTATGTTATTTTCATATTACAGCACTTTTCTTTTGTTTACCATATGCCAACCCTTAAGTTGACTTTTACACTTGATCAGCCAACTCTCTTGTCCTGAATTTTCACGAACCAACCTCACCTCAGGCCTCTTTTCATGATCCAATGGCCGAATTCATCATTTATTCAGCTTATGGACATTAAGGACACCAAGACCTTGAGAAACTCCATTGCTTTATGTCTGGAAGAAATGGCTATGGTTTTCAATGTCTTTCTATGATGAGAATGGCCGTAATTGAAAGGAAACACATAGCATCTACCTCTTGATGGTTGGTGAAACCATTTCTTTTTAGGCACTGACATTTAAAAAGTTTGTCTAACAAGAGTATTCAATCGCGTGTTCATCTTGCTGCTAATGACCTTCTATAATAAAAAAAAACAATAACCCTATACCTATGAATGAAATTAAACTAAGTGAAGTTAAAAAATGAGAATGTTGTATTTCTGGCGCAGGGGCACGGAGCTTGTAGTTTTAGAACAGCGGTTTTCTGTACTCAGCCCCCTAAAACTGCGATGTCTGACTTCGAAGAGGGTAGTCAAGTTGGCTATCTGAGTCCAAAGAGAATGAAGTTTGATTCTCCAGTCATGGAGAATCCTGATCAAATGTCTATGCCTGTTGGCCCTAGTCCTCGCATAGAAGAAGTCGCCATAGAGAGTGATAACTATGGTGATATTTTGGACATGTCTACCATTCACGAGATGGTAATGGAAGATGGAGAAATAGGCGTTTTGTTAATGGAGAAATCTCTCAAAATTTCCCGTTTGGACATGTCTACCATTCACGAGATGGTAATGGAAGATGGAGAAATAGGCGTTTTGTTAATGGAGAAATCTCTCAAAATTTCCCGTTTACCAACCAAAGCTATTCAGCGCCGCCAAATTGAGTCTTTGAGACAGATTTCTGCTTCTGAAGATGCAACTTCTGCTGGTATTTTCTTGCATGGATGTTTATATTAAATTTTGACGATGGGATTTTGATAAGTTCAGAGTAACTAATTCACGAAATTGAATCAAGAAAACGAAAGAAAGAATCTTTATTGAATTATCCACAAGATCTACACAAACGGTTTCTTAGAAACCGAGAGAACTCCCCTGCTCAGCAGAATGCCAAGTCTTCCGGTTACAGACTCCAATCCTTGCCTACCTGGCCATCCAGCCTGTCATTCTATTTATTTCTGTTCCCTCATTAACCATAATCCCCTGTACCCCCTCACATAATAGCCCCCGTAGGCCTATACACACACAACACTATACACTCTCAGACCCCTGACCACTACCCCCACCCTTCCTTACGTAAACCTGTCTAAGCAAAGGCTTATCAGATTTCTCCTTATTCTATTATTAACTACTATGTTTTTTTTTTCCTCTCTCTCTGTGGGATTTTTTTTTTTTTTTTTTTTTTTTTTTTTTTTTTTTTTCCCAAAAAAAATTTTTTTTCCAAATTTTTTTTTTTTTTTTTTTTTTTTTTTTTCCTTTTGGCCATGAAAGATCGTATTCGACAAGTGGTACGTGCTCTTATAACAGGTTGGTTAGGGAGGCTTGCATTCCCTCCGTCTGGATGCCTTACAATTCCTCAAGCAAAGCCTTTCTTTTGCTGTAAGTGCTGTTCTGCAATTTGTTTGGCCTTTTTCTTACTCAGATCCTGGACTTTGCCCATGTGGGATTCTTCAACTGCTGTATCTTTTTTCTTTTCATCCTCTCTCTTTTTGGTCCTAAATTCCTATTCTAAACTTTTAACAGGTGTTTTCCCATCCCTTGATCCTATCTCCATCCCTAAGGGCGTGGATACTTTCAATTCTGGAGCTCTTAATGACCAGCCTCATACTCCTTTCAATGCTGAACCTGATTTATCTCTGCAAATCTCCAGTCAGGATTCTCAATCTGGCATTCTTTCGGGGCTTTCAAGCATCCTAAATGTTCCCGGTATACGGCAAGGGAGAGATTTCACGAGACAAATCTCAAGGGCGCTTGTTGAAGTAGGGGTACATGTACAAAGTCAACTGCTCACTATTCTCGACTCTACGGAATCACGTAATCACAGATCAATGATGGAAGCAGCAGACAAAACGTTCTCTCTTCTGAACCAGCTTTCAGTTGATCATAGGTCTTTTTCTGAGCATGTGAGAAAGTTCATTTCATGTACGTCATCCTTGGCCAAAATAGAGGAGTCCATGATGGCTGGACAATCCTCGGAAGAGATCATGGAGTGGTATGACTATGAGAGAGCTAACTTTGACAAGTTATCAAGAATGCAGGCTGAGACAGAGGATGCAGTTACGGCCTCTGATAAGCGGCTGAAGTCACTTGGGGAAGAGGCTTCACGCTTGAAGAAAATGCTACTTCAAGTTGAGGATCAGTTGAGGCATTTCGAGAAAGAGAATGCAGAGCTGAAGACTAGATCAAGAAAGATTTCAAAGGACATCCTGGAATTAGAAAAGAAATTGCAGGAAGCAGAAACAGCAAAGAGGCTGCACGAGGAAAGAGAAATGGAAATAAATGCTGCAAAGAAATCCTTGGAAATGGCTAGGATTCAAGTTCGGCAGTCGGTATTTACGGTGTGATGTGGGTGGAACTTTGATTTTTGCTTTTGTTGTATAACTTAGATGATGAACCTGACAATGCCGCAGATTACAAGTCTTTGAATTAACATTTAGCTGAATCGTTGCAACTACTCGGTCAACTCTCCTATTTAATTTAAGTGCAGCAGTATGGAGTTTCCATTAAATATGATATTATTTTAATATACGTATATAATTATAATATATTATATTATATGTTATAAGATATAATTACATTATAATATAAATTATTATAATATAATATGAATTATATTATAAATATTAATACAATAATATTTATAATTATAATATTTAAGGGTAATGATGAAAAAGAAAATTAAAAGAGTTTGGAATGAGTATTTCTCTCATGTAAGTAAAGAATGATGATTACTTATTTGATGAAAAAGTCATTATTCTTTTTTTTATTTTTAAAACCAAACAAATATGAAAATGAACCTTGATTTCTTTTTATATGCTTGGAGGGACTTGGAGGATAAGATAAGGTTGAGACCACATTGCATGGGGCATCTTTTTTTGCAACATACTTTTGAAGACCAAAGGTGCTTGTTCTTGTGCCAACCATTACTTGTAGCAAGCATCTAAGGCTCAAAGGTGCTTTTTAGTAGGAAAAAGATGCGCCTCCATTTTCTTTCTCAATAATATCTTTTTGTTTGGGTGTAAGTGACTCGTTTGAAATAATGGAAAGGAATATTCTAGTCAGCTTTTGAAACATCAAGCAAAGTTTCAGAGCCTTTGTCATTTCCTTCTACTTTCGTTTCTGAGAATTCCTTTATCCATCTGAAAACTTTGTATGTAAGGAAAGAGCATATACCGACAGCTATATTGTTGACTCAAAAAGTATTTTCTTCAAACTCGAATTTTCATACTATGTAGTAACAAAGAGGATATTCTAAAGGGCTGTAATGTAATTAGCATGCCCTTTACTCCAGCAATAACGTTTGTTATTGTTTCAATAGATCACCTTAGCTAGGAGAATGGAAATTAAGCTAAAGGCAAGAGCCCTATTTTCAATCAATATGACAGTATAAATTTTCCGAGTTATCAGAACAGGCAGATTGTTTTCTATCATCCCAATTGTGTTCTTAACGCCTTTTCTGTTACAAATAAGTAATGTTATCAGTCCTTGCGTGGCCCCCAGGGAATTGATAGCAGTCACTGGGAATTGAACCTTTCTGAGGCACTAAGTCCAATTGATTCCCGTTGAGCAACCTCTTGGGGTTCATTTGCACTTATCATTTTCACATAAAGATATTCAGGCAACGTTAAGAGGGGAAAAAACTCTAATCCCATTTCATACTATAATTTATTCTAACAAGACGAGTTCGACAGCAATACACAAAGCAAACATTTCCTCACCACGAAGCATTTCGAAACTCTCTTCTTTCCTCAAGTCTGCATCATACACAATCCTTTCTTAACTCCTACATTACAGCCTCGTCTTTACTCTTCCAGATCAAACCGCAACCAAATCTCATTCACCCTATTGTCAAACTCGAACGGGGAATTGTACTGCGCAACTGTGTAAACCGTAGTACGGTCTTTTCCATGGCTCTTTTCGATGGCGTCGGACCACACTGTGCCGACAATGCTGGCTTGTAGTGCAGCGGCTTCCTCTCCAATCTCATAGTCGGATACAAAGCCGCCAAACTGTCTCACTGCCACATAAGTTGGCTTCCATTTCTGAATTTGCAAGCCTTTGGCAGGGGCTGGATTCGCCTGGTTCTTCTTCGGCACGTAGAAGCTCACCAGAAATGAAGATTCGCAGAATGGCCCGTCACTTGGCGAGACTTCAGTGATCACTGGTGCTGTCATTTCTATTTTCTCTTTGTAGTAGTTCTTCCCTTGGATGTAGTCAAATAGCCTGTTTCAACAAACAAAACATAGCAATTGAAGATATTATTACTAAGCTTATGATGTTTAATTTAAGAAGTGTCGCATGCTCTTCTTCTGAGTGCAAAAGAACTTCAAATTTAAGGGACTAAATGATCTATTTTCTCTTAATTCTCTGAGAGGAGTCGGTGTGACTACTTTTCTTTTTCTTTTTTTTTTTGGGATAAGAAACGATATAATATTAGTGATGAATAACGGTGTGACTACACATGAACATTACAATTTGTGTTGAGACTTAGATGTGCTGTTAAAATTTATCAGTTTATCGCTAATTTTAGGAATGATAATGCCATCGTTAGCTGCAACAACCAGAGCCTATATATATAATATAGAGGAGCTAAAGAGAATGGCTTGACGGTTATAACTGTGGTGAATTGACAAAGAGAAGCTGAAAATGAAAACTTCTTATTTTCATTCATACATTCATGGTATACACTGCATACATATATATACATCAACTCCAGTAACCCTATCATTAAGTCTGTATCCTATCAAATTAGGAAACTAACAAATTAGGAAACTATCTCTACTTCTAAGGAAATAATCCATCAAACTAATTGCCTAAAATCACCTAGCTGTACACGGCTTTCCAGCCTGTATTCTAGCTATATACAGCTTTTTCCACAATAACTATTGGTAAAACCTACACCAAAAAGTCCAAGAAAAGAGTTTAGCCATTTATCTATCTACCATTATCTTCTTTCTATGGACCAACCAAATATCTCCTACTATTCCTCTGACTTTTTATGATAAACAATATCAATAAGATATGTGATTTAGTTGTGAAATCCTAAGAATTTCATTCCTTTGATAATTAACCGAGTTCTTGATTTCTTGTTCTTCTATTTATTTATTTAGTTGTAAGAGATAACAACTATTGCGCTTCCTAAAGAACTTCCAAGTTTTCCATTTACTTCCTATAATTTGATGCTGAAGTTTTGTTATGCTGCCTATCAAGATAATTCTAAGTACTAAACCAAATTTCATCACTGATAAAAACAAATTTGATTTTTGTGTAACATTGTTCCGACACCAGTTTTATTTTATTTTTAATTTTACTATTCCGGAGACTCTAATCCAGAATAACTCACACACCCATTAAACACCAATTGAGCCGAGATCAAGTTTTATTATTTAACCAAGAAAACACTAATAAGAAACAAAGAAATGGGCAATGGAGTACAGATATGGTTATGAACTCACTGCAAGAAACCAGTTCTGGTGGCATCAACAAGGGAGATATCTTGAATGGCAGATGTTGAAGCCCACATGGTGGAATTGTAACGGCGAATCTCGTACCCATTTCCCACATCAACTACTTCAAAGCTTGGGCACTCTATCCGATTACATGTTGGTGGAAATATTCCTAAGCTCTTATTGTGTTGGGTCTTCTCTGCTGGCCACAGACCAGACAGAAGGCTCACCAGCAACGAGAGCTTCAAAACGTTGGAAACAGCCATTAATGTTAGGTCTTTAATTGCTTGGTTTACTACGTTTGAGTTTGAGAGAAGATTGTTTCTTGTTTGACAAAAGAAAGAGTTGTGTGAATTTATTCATGTGTTTTTATCATTGATGTGTGATTTGGTCCACACATTCAGTCTGTGGACTGGTTTGGATGAAATGAAATTACGTGGAAGGGTGTAGAAAATTGGATGGAATAAAAACTATTTAATAATTGCTAAAAAAAACTGTTGAATAATGCCTACGAGTACTAATATTAAGTACCACGACTAATAGATAATGAATTCTACATATAAGGACCCTTTCTATGTATGGTATTGAATACCATTGGGCATTGGTACTCTTAAGCATTGTTTAAAACTATTAAAAGGATACTTTGCTACTATACTTCACTACGCGATTTCTAAAGAGAGAGTGAGAAGGTCCTTAGAGAGTAGAGGCTGTCCGAAGTTTCGGCACCGCTTTTGGGAGCGTCGCCCGCTCCTGGATATGAAAATTAGTCCTCCAACTCGTCTCGTTGTGGGATTCAAATTTGTGGTGATGGTGTACGGTGTGATGGTTCCATTTGGGCAAATTTGAAGAGATTAAGAGCTTGAAAGTCGGTTGGCCAGTCTCCTTTCTTAGGGGAGTTTTTCGCTTGGTGACTGAGATCTCTTCGCTGGCTATCTTCCTTGATGGTCTTTTAGCCGAACACCCTTCACCAGAGGTTTCTACCGGCGGTGGTCGGAGGTTTTTTTTCTTTTTGTAACTTTTTTGTTTGTAATAAGGTTAGTGGTTTTCCCACCCGACCCTCGTCTGGTTTGTTATTTTTTTGCCAGATTTAGTTGTTTGGTTAAATACCGATAGGGTGGTCTTGGTCCGGTTAAAATTTTTTCTTTGCCTTGTAGATGTCCCCCTTCTGTGGGTTTTGACGATCTGCCCTCTAGTGCTCGACAACTTATGTTAAAGAGAACGGTTTTCTCCCGTCGAGCTTTCATTTCACTAGTTGTTAGTGTGCCAATGCGCTTTCTCGGTTTCGGACCTTAAAGGTGCTCCTGTCCCTTTGATGGGTTAGCATTATACCAAAATGACTGTTTATCAGTATTTTAATGATATACAATTTTCCTTTAAAAAAAATATTAAACGAAAAAATTTCTTCCAACATAAAAGCTTAGAAGTGAAAATTAGGCAAATGACGTTTTTTGGACTTTTTTTTTAATTAATGGTCGAACTGCTATTTTTTAGGCAAGTGGTTGAATTTAATGACCGTATAATCATTTATAAATCAATTAGTCATCAATTTACAATAATTTTTTCACTAACAAATCAAAAATTTATTGGTTGAAATTGATTAAATACTGAATGATATTAGTTAAATATTAATTGATATGGATTAATCAGTACTGATTATTAAGTTAATCAGTGTGTAGCCATCAAATTAATAAAAAATGGCCATTTTTTTTAATTTGCAAAACTTTAACTATTTACTAAAAAATATCAACCATCAAGTTAATGAATGATTTTTTTTTTGGGTTTACTTTTTCCACCTTCCGAGGTGTTAATTGAATTGTTTTAGTAACTTTATAATTTTGAGTAAAATAAAAAAAAGGGCTAATTTCAATTTTGACCCTGTGAGAAATACTCATTACTTCACTTTGCTAAGTTAAACTTTCAATTGTCACACTAATGGCATTCGACTTTTACAAAAATTGCACTATCAGTCCCTTTGTCACAAAATTATTCAAACATAAACGGAATGAGTATATGAAGCGTACATGATGCTTTAATTGAGAGATAAAATTATTTTTATATCCTGTATTATATACAAACATGCCTTTAGTATTATTTATTTTTAATAATATTAAAATGATGCCTTTATATTTTTAAAAATATCGTTACATTACCTTGAAGATGTTCTTTAGGATATAAAATATCCTTAATGTCCTTCTAATTAATTCATGAGAAAGTAAAAATTTTAAAAAATTTTATGTGTTTTAAATATTTTTGAAAATAAAAAATATGAAAACAAATAAAGGAAGAACCAAAAAATAATCAAACTAAAAAACTAAAAAGCTAACGAATTCAAATCTAAATTTAAGCAATATTTTTTTCTCGTAAAAAAATTAAATTTAAAAAATTCTTTTACAATGTTTTTTTTTACAAAATTTGAATTCTGATTCAAACTACCAGGTTTCAATCCTTAAACAACAAATAGTTTGAGGACTTAGGACACAAATTTGATAATTTTTTTATTTAAGAGAAAATGAGACAAATAACTTTTAAAAGTACTGAATATTTACCCCTTACTCTTAATTAATATCCTTTTAAATCAAATAACTATATTAACAAAAAATACATTAATTAAGAGTAAAGTCATGCACTTTTAAACGTAAGTTCAATAATTTTTTGTTTATTTTTATTTATTATTTTAATCATTTTTTTATCAGCCACCATCATATCTTTAGACCACACTCCTCCATCTTTCCCCTAAATAGAAACAATCGCGCCAAGAAAAGAGTAAAATTCATGGATAGTCTTTAAACTTTTTTCTGTTTCTACAATTAGTTCATATATTCAATTTTTCTTATGAATAGTCCATAAAATCTAAAAATGTCTTATAAATGGTCTCTCTGTTAAATTTTAGATGAAAACTGTTAACTTTGTTTCATAAAAGGTCCTTAAACTATCTTCTCACTACTAAATTTAATCTCTAAACTTAAAAAAAATACATATTATCTTAAAAATTATAAAATCAAAAAAAGAACTAAAAAAACTAAAAAAGTCAAATAAAAAATAAAAAATAAAAAATAAAAAAATGAAAATATATAAAGAACAACAACATGGGTCATCATGTTCTCCACTAAAAATATGAATCTAAATAAATTAAATCTAAAAGTTCAACAACACAAAAATTTCTCCTAAGTGCAAAAAACACAAAATATTCAAAGAGCAACAAAAAGAAAGCCGAGATCTGCATCAAGCGTCCAAGTCTTGAAGTGCCATTCCAAGATGTGAAACCATCTTAAGTTGGAATCCAAAAGGCTTGCCGGAGTCGAATGAGGTTGGAGAGGGAAGGAGTGATAGCAATCGGTCGCGTGTGCACGATAAGGGTAGCAAAGGGAAGCAACAGAGGTGATGAGCAGATGGCAGAGGGAGGGGCCGACGAGCATGGGGCTAGTAGAGGGTTGAGAGATCTGAAAAAAATCTTGAAGGAGAGGAGATTTAAAAAATCTGAGTTTTTTTTTTTTTTTTCTAGATCTTAGGGAAAAAATAATTTTTTTTGATTAGTGAGTTTGAAGCTTTGAGAAAGATTTACAAATTTCTATTATAATTACTGTTTTTCTCAATAATATAAAAATTATTTTTAAAGAAAGAAAATAGTTTAAGAATCTATTATGAGATAAAAAAGATGAGATCATTTATGAAACATTTTAAAATTTAAAAACTGCTTATGAGAAAAATTAATTATAAAAGGAGAAAAAAAAAATCGAAATTTATTCATGAATTTAACTCTAAAATAAAAAATTCTCTCTTTTTCTCCTCCTCGCTCGCTCGCTCGCTCCCTCCCTCTCTCCCTCTCTTCTCGTGCTTTTCACTCTCCTCGCAGGTCTCTTCCTTGCCAGCCTTCTCTCTCTCTCTCTCTCCTTGCTGGTTCCCTCGCTCACTGTCAACGGCGTCTCCGCCGATTGCCTCTTCGCGACTGCGACGAGAACAATTTCCAACCTCGGCGATCCTTGGCCGGAATCGCAAGCCGTCGAGATCAGACGAATGCCGATCATCACGAGCGAAGATCTCGCCCAACGGTCGTCGCAGTGTCTGAGAAACTTGCCAATCGTCACGATCTGGCGGCGCCGATGTTGGCCGTACGGCGTGGTCGAAGTCCGGCACGTCAGGAGGCAGTTTTGGGAGAGGACGAGGCGGGGGCATTTCAAGAATTTTGAAATTATGACACATAACATCTGCTACTTCCCTCAATTTCTCATCAAAACCCTAATAAAAATTCAAAACCAAAATCAAATTCGAAGAAAAGAAGATAATGAAGGGTGGGACGGTGCAGATTAGCTGGCACCTCACTAAACCAGTCTTAACCTCGATTTCCACCCCATTTCTGCTCTTCTCGCCACCGGCGGCGCCGATTTCGGCATCAAGGTTCTTCTTTTACCTTCGTCTGTCAAAAATTAGTCTATCTTAGTTTCGCTTGATTTGGTTATTTGCTGCTTTAATTTTGAATTTACCAGAGTTGGTGATTATTCTGATTTCTAGTTGTTATATCCAAATTTAGTTTGCTTCATTTAAAAAAAAAATTAGTTTGCTTGATGGAACATTTTTCCTTTTGTTTGGCTCCCGAGAAAGTTTACTTATGGTGCGTTTGTTTCAAGGTTCTGTATAGTTTAAACTATAATTTTTAGTGTTATAGTATTTTTCTCTCATAAAAAAATTTGAATTTCAAATGTTTTTGAACCCATGAACCATCAGACCCTTAAATAAGAAAAGGATAATGAGGCTTCAAGCTTTATAGGATGAAATGAGAGCGTCTTTTAAATGTACTGAAGTTGAAACATTTTTAGGGTTAGTTGTTATATTTTGTCAATTTTATATTTGTAAAGTGAATTTGAAATGGATACACGCCAATTTGATAGTTGACTTTGTATACTTAATTTAGTCTTTCACTTTATTTTATTGTTTTTGGAAGACCAATATTTGAAAAAATAGTTTAAAGTTTTATAATTTGATTTAGTCTGCACCCGGAATTTTACTCTGACCAAATGAATCTATTTTGTATGTACAGTTGATGATGCTATGGAGGTTTTATTTGAGTTATTTGAACTATTGCTTCGAAATTGTCAAATTTTCTCAGACGATACAGAGAAGAAACAGCTTTGTATCAAAGTAGCCTTACTCATCATGGTTCAGTTGTAAGTGTGCTTCGCTTCTCTCCATCAGGTAAAGACATAATGTCAACTGTAAATAACTTTCTTTTACTTGTAATTTCAACTAAAGTTTATTAAGAGGGGGGAAAAGGATGTCAAGTTGTCAACTAGTGTTTTATCAACGTTACTGTTTTGTTTTGTTTTGTTTTGTTTTTTTTTCATTTTAATCAAA